GATCTCACAGCATTTCTGAAAAATTAGCACATTCAGTACCACTGAAAACGTTAATACATAAGACATTTTCAATTTCTGCATTGTAAGATAAAGAACTAGTACCAGAAAAAGGGTAACAGGACAAGTGAGCAACTGGGGAAAGTGTTTGCAACATAAATGATAGACAAAAGGATAATTTTCTTAATATATAAAGAACTTTTGAAACTTAATAAGAAAAAGACCAGTAACCAAAATATTAAGAAGACAGAGTGAACTGAGTTTGCAGAAAAACTAATTACAAAATGGCCTTTTTATCCATAGATAAGATATCCAACCTTACTCATCAGAAAACAAATGTGAATTAATGCTAACCTGACATGTCGTTTTCACCTAACAGATGAATCAAGATCAAAAAGCTGAACAGCCTGCTGTGTTGGCGTGTGTGTGAAGTAGCAGGTATTCTCATAAAATTCTGGCAGGTGTATAAATTGGTACAACCTCTTTGGAAGGCAAAATGGCAGTCTGAAATACACATATCCATTGACTCAACAAGAATTTGGCCCTCATAAGGATTTATGAATCCAAAAAGTGGGCAAAGACATACGTACAGTCTTATTCATTTTAACATTGTTTATAGTAGCAAAAGACCAAAAATTATCAAACGTTCATCATTACATGCTAAAATAAATATATTTATAGTAAACCCATCATAAAATACTCCTTCAGCCCAGCTCTGCCCTGCTCACCCTGCAAAGGATCAGTTCTAGGGGTCAACTGACTCTGAGGTCAGGAGAGCTGGCTGTCCAGGCGATAAATCAGGCACAACCCACCTCAGGGCCTCCCCAGGGCCCCAGCTTCTTTCCTGGGTTTGATCAACTTTACCCTCCCTCTGGGCAGCAGAGCTGGATTAAAAAACCTTTTCAATTCACTCAGCTCCGTATGATAAACAATGGATGTAAAAACACATTTTATCACCATTTATATTTTAACAGATTATGTAGCTGGCTGTTCTTAGTCTCTCACTTTAAAAAGTTATTTATAGGGCTTCCCTGGTGGCGCAGTGGTTGAGAGTCCGCCTGCCGATACAGGGGACACGGGTTCGTGCCCTGGTCCGGGAGAATCCCACATGCCGCGGAGCGGCTGGGCCCCTGAGCCATGGCCCCTGGGCCTGCGCGTCCGGAGCCTGTGCTCTGAGACGGGAGAGGCCACAACAGTGAGAGGCCCGCGTACCGCAAAAAAAAAAAAAAAAAAAAGTTATTTATAAGTGTAAATTATATTTAATTTTTGGATGTTCAAACCAATCCAAAGGATTTTTTTCTCAGTAATCTTTCATCAGGGAGTTTATTAAATAGCTTTTAGTCATAGCATGATTTAAAAGCAAATCTCCCCTAGGTTCATCCTATTTGTTATGGTCTTGAGCATCTTTATATTCAGAAAAGTTCTAAAGGTTTTATATAATCTCTGTCAGCCATAAATTTCTGTGTGAAGGAAGCAAGAATGTTTGAAGTGAAACTCTCTTAAAATATTTTGCAAGAGACTAATTCCTGAAAAATGAACAGAGAAACAAACCAGAACTGGCAAAGTCAAAAGCCTCAGAAATGTTCACCTGCTTCTTCTCTGCAGGAGTGAAAATTCTTTAAAAGCCCCTGGAAGTTCTTCAGAGACAAAATTACAATGGTGGAAAAAGAGATAAGCAGCTCTATCCATTGTCCAGCCACTAATGCCTGCTGTCCTTCCCACACAGAGGCCTAGCTGTCTATTTCATGGCACGTGTCATTTACACAGACTTGTTTTTCCAATTCTGTTGTATGCAGACTGCATAGTACTCGGCAGCAAAATGTCCAAGGCACATAAACTCAGAATCACACACGCGGATTTCAGATCCCCGTAAACCAGGATTAGCACACACCGCTCACTGACTCAGCTGCACAGCTGAATCCCCTGGATGTTGCCACAAAGGATTGAAGAAGAGATGAATTGTACGGGGCCTCGTCAATTCATTTCAGATGACAAAATGACACAGGAGGCACGCGGTGACTTCTTTCTTTGCGCAGCTCCTGAGATAAGATGGGGGAGGGAAAACCCCACATTTTGGAGCACTGAAAAAGCACCCCCTCATGTGACACAAATGAACTACGCGTCATCAATCACCAGTATTTGAAAGGACTGCAGATCACGCGATGCATCGTCCTCTCTGGACTGTAACCTGCATATTGTTAATTGCTCTGGCTAACTTCAGGAGAGAAGGCTTGCTTGGAGTTCAGAGAGCAACTCTTCCACGAGGTCTTTGGGCAGCTTACGAGTGAGTAAGTGTTCTTGGCAAGGGGACTTTCTTAGGGGTGCGTTGATTAATAACTTGCTCTGCCCAGCCTCATTCTCTTTCCTCAGCCCCTCCCCCCTTCTCCCAGCCCATTTTCCCACAAAGCCCTTGCTCCCTTCAATCCCAGGCCAGGAATTCGCTTCAAGGCCTGGAAGCTCAAGGGGGAGGCAGGGCTGGTGCTTAAGCCACAGCAAATGAAGTGAGTGCGGAGCGGCTGGCGGGGAGCCTGCTTCGGCCTCCTTGGGCTGATGGATCTGTGGGAAACTGGGCCAGGGACTGGTGGGGACAGCCCGTTTTATTAGGAGTCAAGGCTGCAGCGTGAAGCCCTTCCAAGGCGTCTTTCACATGTCCTTGCTAGTCCTCTACTAAACCGGATTAACCCTAAGTAAAGCACACTGCGCAAGAAAGAGCCTGAAAATGGTTACCTTGCACCTTGGCCCTAAAATGCTGGCCTTGCTTTTGGCAACCACAGAGCTAAACAAATGTGCAGCCACTAGCTTGCCTCCCCTCCTCAAAGCGTGGAGCACACCTTCTGTGAAGCAGATTTATAAAAGGGCGTCCTGGTCTGGGATGCCAGTGTACTTGACGTGGCTCCTGGGCTCTAAAACCAACACTTTTTTTTCTAGGGCAGGGCCCCCTCCTCAGCACCACCCCCTTAGTCCCTGCCAGGGCTGCCTCAGGGCCTGTGACCTGAACAGCTGCACAGGGTCCCGGGCTCAGCTGGACTCCACACGTGGTTTCCTGCTTGGCTGCCGCCGTCTTAAAATTCTCGCTACTTCTTGAACAGGATGCCCTGCGTTTTCATTTTGCACCAGGCCCTGCAACTCACGTAGCCAGTCCTGCTCCTGCCTTTATGGATCCTGACAACCTCTGCTGAAACACCTCCTGAATTTGGTTTTTAGAGATGAGGGCTCTGGGGGCCAGCTGGGTTCTCACAACCTCACAGTGATGCGTTCCTTTTTAACCAAGCCCCCTTGGGCAATATTTGGAAACACTGTATAGAAATTAATACTTACTGAATGATGAGTACGTTCCAGGCCCTGTTCTGAGCACTTTATGTGCCTTTTATCATATAATCCTCACAAAAGCATCATTACCCCAGGCACCATCATTACCCCCATTTTAAAGGTGAGGAAATGGATTCTCAGAGAGCTCAAGTAATTTGTCTCAAATCAAACTCAGATGCCGTTAACTCCAAAACATGTAGTTTTAGCCACCAGACCATATAGCTTGATTATAAAAGGAAAACGTGTTCTTCATTTCACTGGCAGTAAGATTCATAACTGATATGCTGATTGTGAGTTTGGAGATGAGGACTGATTGGAAAGCTAAAAGTAAGAGACAAACAGTCTTTTTTCCCCCACTGAGTACACAGGAGAGTATAAGCTGGTATTGCCAGAACGCCATAAAGAAACAAGATTCTCTAGTGACTTTTTCCTGTCACTTGGTTCTAGGCATTACAGTCAAGGCTCTCAGCTTGGATAACTGAACATTTTGTTTCTAGGACTGTGGGATTCATGATCCCCAAATGGCTCCCAGACCTCACAGTTCTATGCCTTCTGAAGTACCTTCAGCAGACCAAGGATATGCCCAGAATCCAGCATCAAGCAATATTCTATGATAATAACCATCATCTACGAATCATAATCAAAGCCAATGTTTATTCATTGCTATGAGCCAGCCAGTCTACATAGACAAACTTATTTAATCCTCACAACAACCATATAAGGTAAGCATGATCCCTGGATTTTTAAAGGCGAGGAAACTGAGGCCCAGAGAGACGAAGTAATTTGCTAAGGTCACTTAGCTGGTAATTTGGTAAGGTCGCTATAAGCTGGTAACTCTCAGAGCCAGGGTTTGAACCAAGGCAGTCTAGGGCAAAAAGTATGCTTGTAACCCGTACACTATAGGAAAACTGATTGTCCTCTGTCAAAGGCACTGTTCTGAGGACAGAAATCTAGAGAGATTAGTAAATCAAGAGCAGAAGGGCCAGTGGGACCTCCTGACCCTGGAATCACAATGCCCTTTCTCTCCTGACCTCCCCTTACTTGCATACCATTGACTGAACAGGGTTCACCGGGAACACGACCCCTCAGGACACAGCACAGCCAGCACCAGGGCCTAAGTGGTTCATCATTGACCTTGATTAGATTGCAAACATTCATAACTCAAGACTTCATAACTGGACCTATAGGGGAGGGGTAACTAGTTGACCTAAGGGACCCTAGTTCTCGACACTTATTTCCTGTAAAACCACTCACCTCAGGATAGAATTCGTAAGTGAATGGAGAAGACATCTCATGAAGCCTGACATTTCTCATTCAATTTCTCGCAGCCCCACTGAGAGGACAGTACCATTATTTCTACTCTACAGATGGGGAAGCAGAGATTCAGGAAGGCTAGTAACTTGCCCCAAGTCCCACTGCAAGTAAATGATGGAGCTAGGGGTTCAGATCCCAGGCCCCTGAAGTAAAACCCAGGCTCTAAACCCCAGGCTGTGCAATCTCTCCAGATACTGTGTGGTGCAGCCCACTACCAGCCACCCTCTCATGCAGAACTGTTTATCATCTTACCGCTCAGCATGCACTGTTAGGTGCTGAGATGTGCTCCCACAACCATGTACAGCCCCCAGTCCTCCAGGCCATGGTTTCCTCATCAATATTAGCTACTCATGGGGCGTTTCTCACACCTGAAGAGGTTCTTCACAATCCTTTTTCCTTAGGGCTGTTATCATCCTAACTCAGAATCGTTTTAATGGGGAAGTTTCATGTTTATAGTCATAGCGACTTACCTTCTACCAAACCTGTTCATCTTTTTTCTTCCTTGCCGTCCCTCTGATTCTGTGAATGTGGGAACTGAGTAATACTTTAGAATAAGCATCACGCTAGATGTCGTTAACTTTGCAGCTGTAGAAGTGACTCTGAAATGAAGGCAAGCATATAAAGAGAGCTTACCTCCCTTCTTCTGTCCACACATCACCATTATACAGATGCAAGCCCCAATGCACGCACACACACACACTCATGCACACACTCACAGGCAAACCCACAAAGTACACACGCCTGCACACGTGTGTGCAAGCCACACATGCATGCACACAAACGTCTGCATATACCAACATGCATGTGCATACACACACACACACACACACACACACACACACACAATTTGTTCACTCCCTGGGACTCACCAGCTGGATGTAGGGGTTCCTAGAAAGCAGGTCGTTCACGTAAACAGTGCTCAGTTCTGGGAAACTGCTTCTGCCCTCTTCTCTCAGACACACCCTCTCTTTACTGGAAGCCCGCCTCAGGGACCCACCTGGTGCATTTTATTAAAACAGAAGCTACAGTTACTTTCCAGCAAGGACAGCAGTGTGACTCTACATTGTAAACAGAATTTTTATTCGTCGAGCAATACTTTTCTATCCACTGACAACTTTTTCCAGACATGTTTATAGCTTTCATCTAGATATGTTAATTATAAAAATCAAGAAGAATTATTACTTGCAAGTGGCAGTTAATTTTTATAAAGAAGTCTCTCAGTGCATACAAAACACGACTATGTTGATAAAATTTACTTCTCTGCTTGGCTTTTCAGGATTACCCTTATCACATTACATTCTGGAGGACAGTTGCTACTGGACCCAGCGGTCATTAAAACTTAAGCTTCTGAATATACAAAAATTATGAACAGAGAAACACTTGATTTGAAATCAAAAGTGAAAATGTGTTGAGTGGAATTAACTTCTTAAAAAGAGAAAGAGGAAAGTTAAAGTCACTTCAGGAGGCACTCGGAAATTCTAAGGACAAACTCAAGGAGGAAAGATAGATGTAGTCTGCAGACCTCCAAAAGCGGGGCAGCCCCTGGGGTTCTTCCCTAACAGCTGCAGTCTTGAAGCTATACCTCCATTCCTAACGTCCAAATCTCTTCCTTTCTATGCTGCCAGCTGGCCCCAGGGTCATCAAGCGGTGCTAAACACAGGCCAGCCTTTTTTGTTTTTCTCTTTGCTGGGGAAATGATCATATTCTAGTCCAGATGAAAGCACGGCAAATGACTACTTCTCCTGGAAAGCATATGTTCATAATTCCTAATTTTGCAAGAATTAAGCAGTGTAAAATTCAGTTTATTAAAACATCAATTTATCACATTTGCAAGAGTGGTGATATTTATTCCTACTGAACTTGAAATTATCTTGGATGGTAAAAGAGATCTTTATGTATAGACACAGGACACTACAGCACAATGCATCCGTTTTTTAATATTTCGCAAGAGCAAGCAAATGACAGGTTAAATGCTCAGTGTTCCTGCAGCCTTCATTTTATTTCCATCAAGCTCTGGAGTAAGTAAAATTTTTATTTTAGCATTAAAAGAACTCCGCTCTCTGAAATATATGGATTTACAATTGGCCTGATGTTTCTCCACTGGATTCAGGAAGATACTAGGAATTCTCAAGAATAGGCTTCTCAGGCTTCCCTGGTGGCGCAGTGGTTGAGAGTCCGCCTGCCGATGCAGGGGACACGGGTTCGTGCCCCGGTCTGAGAGGATCCCACATGCCGCGGAGCGGCTGGGCCCGTGAGCCATGGCCGCTGAGCCTGTGCGTCCGGAGCCTGTGCGTCCGGAGCCTGTGCTCCGCAACGGGAGAGGCCACAACAGTGAGAGGCCCGCGTACCGCAAAAAAAAAAAGAAAATAAAAGAATAGGCTTCTCCAATTTTCCATGGCATCTGACTTTCCATCTGGAAATAGCCAGAAATGAATCACTGTACATGTGTGAGGTGCTGTTGAGTTTGCCCAAGACATTTACACAGAGCAGCTCATTTTAGGCCTGACATAACTCTGTGATTTAAGCTTAATTACTCTTTTTCTGGACCTGACCACAATGATGGAGTTAGAAAAGTCATTTAACAGCAAGAAAACCAGGGGCTAGAGAAGTGAAGCAATTTGACCGAAGTTCCATGACTAATAAATGGAAGAACTGGAACTAGAATTTAGACTTTCCAACTCCCAGCTCAGTCCTTTTTGACCACACTCACCATCTGAATCCAATTTTCCAATGGGGTCTGGTGGCCATTGGCCTGTGTGAGTGAGAGATTTCTTAACAGCGGACTTCCACGGCGGTGCTAGAGAGTTATTCCTTCTGAGGGGCTGAGTGTACCTCCAAGCCCCTTCCCCACCCAGCCTCAAACGGCAGGTGCTCCGGGTATACAGGAATTGCCTCTCGTCTCCATCTCCCCTGCCAATCCCAGTGGAGCAGGGTGGCCACCAGGAGTGCCATGTGGGAAAGGTGTCTTTGGCCGATTATTCTAAGATCCGTGAGTGGAAGTGCCAGGTGCCAGTGCACAAGTGCGGGAGATGGGAGTGCGACTCGAGAATCAATCTGTGGGTTTTGCTTTATGCGGAGTCTTTGTGACCTGAAGGGGCATGTTTTCTGACCAGCCTGCCTTCCGGTCCTGAATACTTCTGCCGCGTGTTATTTTGACTTCACATGACTGGGACTCCCTTCAGAGTCCAAATCCTTTTTATTTTCTTTTGGAAGGAGGGCGGGTGGGAGAGAGAGGGAGCGCATTGTATAAATCATACTCATTGACACTGTAACTCCACTGCCTGTAGCAGACTCTTTATCAGACCCGGCAGAGGTTTCAAACTGGGAGCCACTGCAGCTGACGGACGCCTCTCCACAGAAGGGTTTTACTGGGCAAGCTCGGAAGTTAGCAGTGCCTTCTACTTGGCTACTCCAGACAGAGGGCCTGCTCTCCTGTACACAACGGCACCCGTGGTCCCGCCAGAGCAGACCACCGCTTGCCTGTCTGGGCAGCTGTCTTGAGCTTGTCCCCCTGACCTCTTGCGTCACAGGCCTAGGACAAGGCGTGGATATTTTCTGAGGAGAGTTGGGTCACAGGGAGGCAAGAGCTTCAGATCCAGAGAGAATGGGGCATCTTCTCTGTGGGGTAACCCAGCTGTAGAGCAAGACTGAAAAGGGGTGTCTGCCAAGTGAGACAGGTTACTGAGATACAATAAAAAGATACAGACTTGACAGTTTTGCTGAAGAGAACCACCACAATGAGCTTTTAGCCTTCCCACCACTGCTCCTTTGCAAACGAGCTGACCCTTCAGCATCAAACGGCATCACTAAGAGGAGGTCCCTCACCCTCTCTCCTCCCTGCCCTGCCCCGTCCAGCACCAATGTGAACGGGATTGGCAACCAGCACTGGCCAGAAGGATAGATTTCTCTCCTAATCCCAAAGGCAGGGAGCGTGTGACCTGGTACCTACCCTCCTCCTTTATGGAAATGTTCTCTCCTCTACCTGCTTCATGACAAATGGTCTCTTTATAGCATCCCTGTTCCTCTGCCCACTCTGCACCACATGGAGAGTCTCTTATTGCTTCTGATCTCTTTTTGATTAGCTCACCCCTCTGCATGTTCAGATCTGATGTTTGTCTACACTCTTCTTAAACTGATGAAAAGGCAAAGGTAAAGCAATGCATTCTTTGATTTTCATCTCCTGCAGATGGAAGATGAATTCTAAGTGTGTTTTTTAGAAGGGACTTACTTCCTCCTAGATTTCATTTTCATGAGGCTAAGAAAGCAACTGCACAAGAAGTGAGGCTTTCAGGAACCACAGTTGCGGCCAGGTGTCAGATATGTGCGACTCTCTGGCTGTGTTCAGAGTGGGTGCATCCAACAAACATAAGTATCTTTTCCTGGGCACCTCTTCTCTTCACTTCAGAATCTGAAATTACGATGAGGGACAAGATTTTTGTTATTTTATTATTAATTTATGTTTATTTATATCTGCTTTGTTCCAGGAAAGATTTAAGGTGGCATAATGTATGAATTTCTGATCTATGTGTAGGAGCAGTTCCATTTGATTTTTTTGTTATCAAATCCACTTGTTAATGATTGATATGTTAATGATTTGATTAATCCATGGGGTCTGATTCATTTCCATCATCATTTACATTTCATCAGGACATGTTTTCAAGGAGACACTTGATGTCCTTCTCGAAATGCTCCGTTTCTCAGCGTGGGGAATTTTTATTTTCCATAAGCAAAGGAAATCTGAACCTTGGAAGTGTGACTGATAGGTAGCTGAAATCTAAGTGTGGTGTAATCTCACTAAGCTTTCACAAACTCTGGAGGAGCCCCCCCTTTTTTTTATATCTGTGTTTCTTCCATTAGGTACACTTCTCTATAAGATACATAAGTCTATACAATCTCTAAAAAAATTCTATTAGTGAACGACAGCCACCTACCCCCCAGCACACAGAGAAGATGCCTTGAAAGCCACAGACCCTGGGCACAAGGCCTGTTCTGCACCCGGTGAAAAAGGTTCACCCAGGAGTATCCTTTTGCTAGACTGCACAGTCAGGACACGACCTTCTGGGCATCCTTTGCAGGGACAAGTCAAGTCAAATTCATGTGAAATAGAGTGGTTAGGCCAGAAGGGTTGACTTTGAGATCACTTAACAAAGAACACCAGAAAATTTGGAATGCATGGTAAGAAAGTTGTTCTCTGCTTTCATTTTCATTTTTAATTCTTTTTCAGGGCTTCCAATTAGAGTAAAGTCTCTGCTCAATGTTAGTAGACATTTAACACCCCTCTCGCTCCTGCTAAGTTCCATTGTCACCCAAGAGCCAGCTTCAGGATAAGAACCTCGTGCAAGTCACAGCAGCCAGCTACAATGTAGCAATCATGTTCCTTTTCTGCTGTATTCAGATTTACCTTTACCTTCTCTTTCTACCAGGTGATGCTCGTTGAACATCTGAAGTAGTGATATAAAGTTATCTTTAAAAATAAATTCAAGTATTTTTTTAATTGATTTAAAGGAAATATTAAATAAATAATTGTGTAGCTGATACATTAATGATTACATTTGGGGTAAGAGGAGGAAAAAGGTAAAGGGCCTTCAGTGAAAGAGAAGCAGCTGTTGTCCTGAGAAAAAAGTTGGTATTAACACCTGAAGAGCTGAGTCTGATACTAATACTCTTAATGACAGGCCATTAAGGAACATCTGGTGACCGCTATCCCCACTGCTAAGCTGAATATAATAAAAAATATTAACTTAATTCACAGATTTTTGGTTAAGGATCAAGTGAGAAATTATAAGGAAAAGGCTGTTACTAATTGTAAAGTATTATACCCATGTTAAGTGATGATCATAATAAATGAGTGATAAGGGAGGGATAAGAGAGGATAAAAGCAAGTTACATTGAAGGAAACTGGTTCATTAGCTAGAAAGAAAATTCTGCTATCGCTGGAGCTACATGGGCCTGGGGCTTGGAAAGGAAAGAAGCAACCCACGTTGTGATTTGTTTTGC